TTAATATTTTAGCCCTTCAATAATACATGTTTATAATTCCTAAAATTAAGTCTAAGATTTTAAAATTTATTTCTCAGCTTCCAATCTGGATATTAATGACTCCTAATTTAAGATTACATGACTGACCCAGAGGAAAAAACATACAAGTTTAGAACGGCAAGCAGTCAAGATAAGATGCTACATTTACTTAGCATCTTGCTAAAATTTTTACCAGCCAACGTTATTATTCAGCTTTATGCTTTAATAAAGCTCAACTTTAAAAGATTATTTGGAGCCGGGTATGGTGGCTCATACTTATAATCCTAGAAGTTTTAGAGGCTGAGGTGGGAGTATCACTTGAGCCCAGGAGTTCAAGAGCAGCCCGGGCAACATAGTGAGATCTCGTCTCTACAAATAATTTAAAAATTAGCTGGGCATGGTGGTGTGTGCCTGTGGTCCCAACCACTAGAGAGGCTGAGGTTGGGAGGATCATTTGAGCCTGGAGGTCAAGGCTTCGGTGAGCTGTGATTGCACCACTGCACTCTAGGCTGAGAGTCAGAGGGAGACCCTGCCTTGAAAAAATAAATACATACACAAAGGTTACTTGGTTAAGTACCAAATAAGATAGCTTCTTTTTATACCATGCTTACTTAATGAAGGTATACTTCCAAGATAAGTAGGTTTCTTGGTAAGAAAATCTAACAATTTTAGTAACTCAACCACACGTTAACACAGAAAATGTAGTTGATCACTGACGTTTAATTTAGAAAATGTCTATCTTCAGAAAGAGCTAAATTCTGCGTGCTTATTATGTGCCAGGCACTGTGCTAGAAAGATTCATGTGCCTTATCCCATTTAGTCCTAAGAGGTAGGTACTATTATTAGCACACCTATTTCACAGACGGGAAGTGGAGCTTTGATTTTGTACTCTACCCAGCTAGGAAATGCTAAATCTATTCTTTGAACTGAGGACTATGTCAGAGCTCAAGAAAGATTCTAATTCCATTCCTGTTCAAAGCAGTGGTCTCCAGGTAAAATAGATCTTGATTAATTTAAAAATCTCCAGAATATTAAAGTTACGTTATAGTACAAACTTATAAACAGTGACTGAATTTTACTTTCAGCCTTCTCTTTAATATGCCTAAATAATTCTAGACCTTGAACTTTCCTAAACCTTTAATCATTTATGGCGCTCTCTGCTGTACCTATCCATTAGAACAATTTTTAAAAACATAACACTGTGTAATTATTTTCAAAAGCCCAGAGATACTAATCAAGTGATCCTAATAGTCTTAAACACTATCCTCAAACCAAAAGATAAATGGAGATTGGGAAACTTGCATTCTAAGTGCCACCATCCAGATAAAATTGCCCTGTGAATTAGAGTAATTTCAATCAGATCCTGTAAAACTGAAAATTTTTCTCAAGACCAGAATGAGACAGTAACTGTAAGATAGTTTAAAAGTTCAAATTCTGGAACATAAAATGGTTTTCCATATAGCAAATTCAATAGCAAAAGGTAGTCAGTAGGGGTTAAGGAGAGCAGCAACAGTTTAGAGAATAATAAAATTGCAGGGCTGGGTGGGGTGGCTCATGCCCGTAATTCCAACACTGGGAGGCTGAGTGGGGCAGGGTCACTTGAGGCCAGGAGTTCAAGACCATCATGGGCAACATAGCAAGTCTCAACTGACAAAAAATAAAAAATTAGCCAGCGGTAGTAGCACCTTGTAGTCCCCAGCTACCTGGGAGGCTGAGGCAGGGGTAACACTTGAGTCCTGAAGTTTGAGACTGCAGTGAGCCATGATCACGCCACTGCATTCCAGCCTGGGCTACAGAGCGGGACTCTTATCTCAAGAAAAAAAAAAAAATTACAAAAATTAAACTATTCATGTCATAGCCACTCTGCCTTAATGCAAGACTATAATTACTCTAAAAAAATCATATGCTGCTCAAATAAGGGCTAATTTCCTTACTATATGGTGTCCTTAGTTTTAAGCTAACACATTACATACTAAAAGAAATCCAGGCCGGGTGTGGGGGCTCACGCCTGTAATCCCAGCACTTTGGGAGGCAAAGGCAGACGAATCATGAGGTCAAGGGATCCAGACCATTCTGGTCAACACAGTGAAACCCCATGTCTACAAAAAATACATAAATTAGCTGGGCATGGTGGCGCATGCCTGTAGTTCCAGCTACTTGGGTGGCTGAGGCAGGAGAATGGCTTTAACTCGGGAGGCAGAGGTTGCAGTGGGCCGAGATTGCGCCACTGCACTCTAGCCTGGCGACAGAGCAAGATTCCGTCTCAAAAAAAATAAAAAAGAAAGAAAGAAATCCAAAGGCATTTCATGCATTAAAAACTCAATTAGGTTTTCATATAGGCACCTGCATTTACAACTGTTAACAGCTATTAACACCCAGTGAGTTGGTTTATACAAAAATACAAACCAAAGTAAGTGTATAATTTGTTAGTTCTCTGACTCATTAATCATTCTTAAAAAAGATTATTTTCAGGCCAGGCGCAGTGGTTCATGTCTGTAATCCCAGCCCTTTGGGAAGCCAAGGCAGGTGTGTAACGAGGTCAGGAGTTCAAGACCAGCCAGCCTGACCAACAGGGTGAAACCCCATCTCTACTAAAAATACAAAAATTAGCCAGACATGGTGGCATATGCCTGTAATCCCAGCTACTCAGGAGGCTGAGGCAGGAGAATTGCTTGAACCTGGGAGGCGGAGGTTGCTGTGAGCCAAAATAGCGCCACTGCACTCCAACCTGGGCGACAGAGCGAGAATCCATCTCAAAATATATATATATATATATTATTTTATTTAACATACAAATGACTATTCTGGGCTCAAGTGATGCTCCCACCTCAGCCTCCGGAGTAGCTGCGACCTCAGGCATGCGCACTACCATGCCCAGCTAATTTCTTTTTTTGTGGAGAAGGGGTTTCAACGTGTTGCCCAGGCTGGTCTCAAACTTCAGAGCTCAAGGGATCCACCAGCCTCAGCCTCCCACAGTGCTGGGACGAGAGGCGTGAGCCACTGTGCCACGCCCAAAAACCATTTTTAAGTGTCACATCAGTTATTTGCTAAGGTATTAGTTGTATTTTAAAAAAAAAAAAAAGAGGATTAAGTTATTATACTAGAATCCATTTAATATAATGCACTCGGCAAGATAAACTCAAAGTTAGTAAGTGGAGGAAGTGTAGGCACGATATTCCAATTCAATTTTGTGACAGGAAGTACCTGCTATGGAAGTCTAGAAACAAGAATACCAAGTTCTGTTTTAGCACAAGAGAGAGAAAAAAAAAGAAAACACTGGTGTATAGGGCAAAAGAGGAAGTTCTTTTTAGTGAACCATCTGTCAGGTATTACAGACAATTAGAAAAACATTCACTTTTCCGCTAGGTTTATGTGGGAATGTAGTTCCCCAGGTGTACTGGAGCCTGGATTTTGCAGTTTCCCTATGGCAACATAGCCTATGATTCAATTTTTATTTATTTATTTAGAGACAGGGTTTCGCTCTTGTTGCCCAGGCTGGAATGCAATGGCCCGATCTAGACTCACTGCAACCTCTGCCTCCCTGGATCAAGCGATTCTCCAGCCTCAGCCTCCCGAGTAGCTAGGATTACAGGCACGCGCCACCACACCCCGCTAATTTTGTATTTCTAGTACAGATAGGGTTTCTCCATGCTGATCAGGCTGGTGTCGAACTCCCAACCTCGGTGTTCCGCCCACCTGGTCCTCCCAAAGTGCTGGGATTACAGGCGTGAGTCACCGCGCCCGGCCTATGATTCACATTTTACACATCCATAAGAAGACAACAGTGGCTTGAAACAGTAAACTATTTGTTTCATATTTTAAAGTTTAACTTTTTAAAATCAATACTAACTACATAAGAATCATTTTTTAAAAATACTTAAGTTTCACAACTTAAGTGAATATACTACTGAGCTGTCCACTTAAAAATGGTTAGGATGGCAAAGTTCACGTTTTGTGTTTTTCACGACACAAAGTGCGTAAGTTAATGAGAAATTATTTCACTTAAATGTTAATAGTAGCTTGTCATATAAACTTTGATTAAAGGCAAAATCCTCATACTTAATTTTTAATAAAGTAATTTGCTGTCATCTTTAAGTTAATGTAATTAATTTTTAAAGATGCTTCCATACATGGGCAAATTCTTTAATACTTAACTATAGAGTGAAAGTGAAGCACTATTTTCAATATCTTTCAAATCATCTGAATTATTTATTGCCAACAAACACTAGTTGTGAAATTAGGTATATTTTATTTCTGTTGATTTCTTCATTCAGTTAAATGCAAATCTCGAATTAAGACAGCAAGATCTCTAAATAAATAGGCTTTTCTTAAAGCAACTGTAGTTTTGGATTATGAGGTAAGTGACACCACACTTCAGCCTTTAGCAGGGCGGTGGCCCAAAGTGCTTAAGTCAACCATGTCCAATCACCCTTCTGGTCTGGCTCAGCCCTATCAAAAATTGTCAGGCTTCTGTGAACTTTCATTAAGTCCCGTTTAGAAGACTACACAACCTAGGTTACTTTAGTAGCTCGGGAAGGGCCTGGAGCAGCGGGCTTGGCTTGCTACCTCTGGGAAGTCTCCAGGAAGAGAAAACTGGGAAAACGCTTTAACTTTGCGCAAGCCCCTTTTCTCAGTCAACATCTCCTTCCCTTCCCAGTGAAGGGATGTGTTCTCGAAAGATCTACCCCTTTCCAACTCAAATGTCATTCCCAGATCAGCTGCTGGAGGGGCAAGCGGCGCTCAACCCACGCCCTCCTCTTCGAGCACCTTCTCCAAGTGCTAGGGCGCCGGGCTCGCTCTGCAGCCCCCCACACCAGCCCTACAGGAAGAGGGGCCCTGGCTCACGACCCCAGCCAGCCTCTGCAAGGGGGCTCCCGGCCTGGGCGGCTGTGGCTGCCCGCGGAGGTTCACTCCTGGGCCGAGTGGGGGGTGACCAGAGCCAGCGGGAGGGGTTTCTTGGGAGAGGGGAAAGACGGCCTCACCTTGACCCTGATTTCGTAAGTGGTGAAGCGGCCCCGGCCGACCCCCACCGTCTGCGGGTTGCTCACATCGATCTCGAGGAAGTTGCTGGGGGGTCCATAGGCATCATTCAGGTTCTGCGGCTTGGTGATCAGCCGCCGGGTGTCAGCCACGGTCTCCGCCATTTCGCTGTAGCCGCCGCCGCCGCGGGCTCCCTCCGCCCCCTCCGCGTTCAGCCTCTGCCGCCGCTGCTGCCCGCCGTGGGGACACGGGGCTCGCGCGCAGCGGTCGCGAAGCGAACGAGCACGTAGAGCGGGCGTTCACCCCGCACGCGAAGCTCCTCCCCGCGCCCCTCAAGCTTCCGCGTCCGAGCCCAGGGGAGAAACAGCTGACTCGCTGGAACGCCGCGCTCGGGTCCCGGGAGGACCGGCCGAGGCTGGGGAGGGGCACTGCGGGTTGGGGTGTGAGGAGAAGCGGTGTCATGGGACTCGCGGTTGCAAACAGGTTCCGGCCGGACTACAGCGCCCACAATGCACCGCGAGCGCCGCCGCCGCGGGGCTGCGGCGGATGAAGCGAGGACACAGACGCCGAGGGGCGGTGCTTCCTGTCTCTCTGCGCCAGGCTCGGCCTGCGGCGGGGCAGAGCGCCGGAAACGGCCTTCGCGGCGTTAGGAATTGCGGGCGAAAGTTAAACGGGGAGATTTTAGAGATTCGCCAGCAAATCGAAACAAAACTGCCCCTACTAACTCTACTAACAGTGAACCCTTGAAAATGCCTTTCTGGAGAGGGTTAAACAAATGCCTGAAATGATTTTGCCATAAACCTGAGCGTTCCACCAGACACCCATCTGGATTGATAAGTTGAAACCAGTAAAGTGTGGGAGTGAAATAAAAACAAAAGCCCTAGCTAAATCCTAGCATTATGGTCAAACCACATTTGGAGACAGGTCGGCCCGCTAAAACAAAGTAACAGTAGACCGGCTGCAAGCTGCCTTGGGTGTCCACTTTCATTTCTCACGAAGTCCTGGTAAGTTTTTTTTTTTTTTTGAAAATATTAAACGTACCTCTACAGGACTGGAAATGCAACTCACATAAGCCTTTTTAAGAAACGGGGAGGAAGGCCGGGCACGGTGGCTTATGCCCGTAATCCCAGCACTTTGGGAGGCCGAGGCGGGCGGATCACGAGGTCAGGAGTTCGAGACTAGCCTTGCCCACATGGTGAAACCCCATCTCTACTTAAAAATGCAAAATTAGCTGGGCGTGGTGGTGTGCGCCTGTAATCCCAGCTACTTAGGAGGCTGAGGCAGGAGAATCGCTTGAACCCCGGAGGTGGAAGTTGCAGTGAGCTGAGATCGCGCCGTTGCACTCCAGCCTGGGCAATAGAAAAAAAAAAAAAAAAAAGAAACGGGGAGAAAACCCAGTTAATTAGGAATTAGGTCCTAGTTCATCTCTCATGGTCTAATGGGAAATGCAGATTTTAAATGTTGAGATACGATACATTTTTCTCTCTTTGTCCGGAGAGTTATCCCTCTTAATGGTATGGTCTCACAACTATTTCTGCATTTTTTAATATGTCAAGTTTAATCCTATAATTACTTTAACCTGATCTTCCCCTCTCCGCCATTTTTTTAGATTTTAAGTTATTAGTAATTATTTGTGGAGACGGGATCTCACTATGATTTCCAGGCTGGTCTCCAACTCCTAGCATCAAAGTGATCCTCCTGCCGCAGCCTACCATAAGTACTGAGATGGCAGGCATAAGCCACCGTGCTCGGCCTGATCTGTCCCTTGATTCCTTGAACTGAAATTTTCTTTTCTTTTCTTTTCTTTTTTTTTTTTTTTTTTTTTTGAGACGGATTCTCGCTGTGTCGTGCAGGCTGGAGTGCAGTGGCGCATCTTGTCTTACTGCAATCTCCACCTTCCGGATTCAAGCAATTCTCCTGCCTCAGCCTCCCGAGTAGCTGGGATTACAGGCGTGCGCCACGACACCCAGCTAACTTTTGTGTATTTTTAGTAGAAACGGGGTTTCGCCTTGTTGGCCAGGCTGGTCTCGAACTCCTAACATCAGCCGATCCGCCTACCTCAGCCTCCCAAAGTGCTGGTAGTACAGGCGTGAGCCACCGTGCCCGGCCAACAGCAACCATTCTTAATAACACTAAGAGACACTGGAATAAAAAGAAATTACTTGGCCGGGTGCGGTGGTTTACTCTTGTAATCCCAGCACACTCGGAGGCCGAGGCGGGCGGATCACCTCAGGTCGGGAGTTCGAGACCAGCCTGACCAACATGGAGAAACCCCGTCTCTACTAAAAATATAAAATTAGCCAGGCGTGGTAGCATATGCCTGTAATCCCAGCTACTCGGGAAGCTGAGGCAGGAGAATTGCTTGAATCTGGGCAGTGGAGATTGTGGTGAGCCGAGATCGTGCCATTGCACTACAGCCTGGACAACAAGAGCAAAACTCCGTCTCAAAAAAAAAAAAGAAAAGAAAAGAAAAAGAAATTACTTAAATACAATGTATATTATTTTCCAGAAAACAACATTCATTTATTCATTCAACAAATATTTGTTGAAGGCCTATTAGATGTTTTCATTCTAGGTGCTAGAGATTAAAGGGTAGATAAGTCAGGTTTATAACCTAGTATATAGTCTATCTTAGGGAGACAAATCAGTAAATAATACACCTGCCAATATGATTGGTGCTATGAGACAAAACTGAATAATGTGACAGATAGCGACAGACAAGCTCATTAGATATTAATGCTGGGCATGTCTCCTAATACAACAGACCAAATGGGAATTTGACTGGTATGATTAGAAATGTGAGCTCAAGAAATATGTATCAATGGCTCTGAATTGAAGTCTATGAAAGCTAAGAGACCAGGAACTACTGTATTTGTTGTCATCGGTGACACCTGAACAAAGCAATCATAGAATATTCTCATAGAATGCTTCTGTCTGATTCCTTGGTGGCCACTCAGGGCACACTTGGGCAGCCGGAACAAATGCCTGCAGTGGGGAAGCGGCTAGGAGGGACAGCAGCACAGCATCATAGCACAGTTGTATAGCCAAAGAAGACCTTCTTGGTGTAAATATCAGGAAAAAAAAAAATCTTTATTTTTCAGGAATTGTGATTGCATTTCTAGAATGCAAATCCAGAAAGAATAAGCTACTAGAATTAACAAAATGTAGTGGCAGAATAGAAATATAGAATATAATAGCTTTCCTTTGTCTAGGCAATATCTAGTTAGAATGGAAATAGAAGAAAATACCCTGTTCACAAGTGACCAGAAGTACAAAATATCTAGGAAGGAAAGGATAGGAGCTACAGGGAGCAAAGGAAACATAGGACTAAAACTATGAAATTGTATTAAAAGATGTAAGACAAAACCTAAAGAGAAAAGAGTCTGTGTTCCTGGATGGGAGGACTTAATATCAGAAAAATATCACTCTATCTAAAATTAATAACTTAATACAATTAGAATCTCAGTGTGGTTAGTTTTACTCACCCACTCCTACCTTGGATGGATGGGTGGCAATGAGTCAAGTTTTTTTTTTTTTTGAGATGGAGTCTTGCTCTGTCACCCAGGCTGAAGTGCAGTGGCACGATCTTGGCTCACTACCTCTGCCTCCTGGGTTCAAGCTATTCTCCTGCCTCAGCCTCCCAAGTAGCTGGGACTACAGGCGCCCGCCACCACGCCCAGCTAATTTTTGTGTTTTTAGTAGAAACGGGGTTTCACCATGTTGGCCAGGCTGGTCTCGGACTCCTGACCTTCTGATCCACCCACCTTGGCCTCCCAAAGTGCTGGGATTACAGGTGTGAGCCACTGCACCTGGCCCAAAGGTTTTATCGTTCAGAAATGGCAAAACTCGGCTGGGCGCGGTGACTCACGCCTGTAATCCCAGCACTTTGGGAGGCTGAGATGGGCGGATCACCTGAGGTCAGAAGTTCGAGACCAGCCTGGCCAACATGGTGAAACCCTGTCTCTACTAAAAATACAAAAAAATAGCCAGGCATGGAGCTGGGTGCCTGTAATCCCAGCTACTCCAGAGGCTGAGGCAGAAGAATGGCTTGAACCTGGGAGGTGGAGGTTGCAGTGAGCCGAGATGGCGCCACTGCACACTCCAGCCTGGGTGACAAGAGTGAGATTCCGTCTCAAAAAAAAAAAAAAAAAAAAAGGCAAAACTAGCTCCAGAATTTCTATACTTACCAATATTTTATGCTGCCTCTTAGGCAGGAATTCAAATGGACAATAAGCATAAAAAAGAAATGAAATTACTATCAGCTGACTGTTTAGTGAGCTCAGAATAAACACGAATGGATAATCTTAATGGCCAGAGCCTTCAAACTGTGATAATTAATACTCTACTCAAAGGACGCACCTCTCAGGGCACCCACAGCGATACCAGTATACAGACAACTTATTTTTCTAGAATTAGGCCACTTTAGGAAAACATAAAATTGATGATAGTTTTCTAACATTTTAGCTCATTGTTAGAATATATTCATGTCTTCTCCTCATACCTCCACTTCAACTGCCACTATACTCAAACTTACTAATCATATAAATGCACATTAAACATGAATACTTTTTTCTGTCTATCAGAATGACAAAAATCCAAATGAACAGAAGCACACAGTAGGAAAGTAGGAAAACAGGCATTCATATTTTGATGACATGAGTATGAATTGTTACATCCTTTTGGAAAAGTAATTTGATGATATTTATCAAAAGTAAGACTATTAGAGTAGTTTTACCTGCAAATCTAACTTTTGCTGCAAGAGTCCATGGCACACAAGGTTGTAAGGGCAAGGATGTTTATCACATCTTTGTTTGTAGTGGCAAAAACTGGAAACAGCTCCAAGGCGTATCAGTTTTTAAAAATGCTTGAATTAGGCTGGGCAATGGCTCATACCTGTAATCCCAGCACTTTGGGAGGCCAGGTCAGGGAGATCACTTGTCAAGACCAACATAGGGAGACTCTATCTCTACAAAAAATTTAAGAATTGCAGGGCATGCTGGTGTGTGCATGTAGTCCCAACTACTTGGGAGGCTGAGGTGAGAGGATTGCTTGAGCCCAGGAGGTTGAGGCTGCATAAAATATTGGTAAGTATATTGGTAAGTATATGATCATGCCACTCTACTCCAGCTTAGATAACAGACAAAGACCTTGTCTCAAGAAAGAAAAAAAGAAAAAGAAAATGCTTGAATTATAGTATATTTAAACTGTGGGAAATTGTATAATGATTAAAGTAAATTAACTAGTTATATTTTCATTTATTAGAATAATCTATTTTTTAGTTATTAGAATTAGAGGGGGAATATCCTGATGTATTGGTGAAAGCACTGAATCCTAGCCACTAGACTACCAGAGACCATGATACCGGTAAGTGAGGATCACAAAATAATCTGTCTGCTATGGTCCATTTGGGTAAACAAACAAAACCCTATCATTAGGCCAGCCAGAGTGGCTCATGCCTGTAATCCCAGCACTTTTAGGAGGCTGAGGCAGGTGGATCATTTGAGGT